TGGAAACTGGCATTTTTGTATGGTCCTGGCTCCTTTCTGCAGCGCCACAGTTAAGATGTTCATTACTTTCGGAGTTAGTTGACGCTTGGCTGTGGACTGTAGACACTAGTCGTGGTTTATTTGGTGCAGAAAATTGTGGTCCTGCAGCCAAACTACGACCTCACCTCACACCGGGTGAGCCCGTAACAGTGAAGGATTCGATTGAAGGGATATTAGCTCATCGCCTGTGGCTAGGATTTCTTCTGGACCGTTTTGAGGTGAAAAACGCGTTTCAACTTTGGTATTTCTGCTCATGCAATAATTGTTAGTAGGTTGTCAAGCATAATAGCAGAAAGGAGCTGCTTTTAATTGGGAGATTACTTCAGGGGTCTGTGAAGAAACCTCGTTTTACGCCCCATCCTGCGGCAACCGGGACTTTTTTTACACTTATGCTGCTAGGATTCAAATTTTGCGCGTGGCAGCTACAAAACTTGCAGTCTATCGAAACTGCAGGAATATTTCTCCTGGAAGACCGCATCTACAGGTAAGTTCAAATTCTCATGTACACGAACTAATTTCTTAGTTTTGTAGATCTGCTTTGAGCTGGTTTGCCGCTGAACCAGGCTGGTATGACTGGAAAACCGAGGGTGATGCTCAAAGTGAAGCACAGGCCGTGTCAACATTTGTGTATTATCTAACGTCGTATCAGCATGAGCCATCAGAAAATTTAAAATCTGGGACACAGGAAAATGGTTATATATCAAATTTTAGGAATGTACAGGTATCTTTATCTAGATTGCCGTTTTTCATTCATGTGTAATACTGCGTTCTAATAGCTTGACGGGAAACATGGTCAGACGGGGAAGGAGAGAGTAAAGCAGCTGCTGTTGATGTTATCTCAACACGAAGCTGATAGGCTTGAGACGTGGGCGTTCCCTTTAAAGTAAGTTCTACACACTCTGTTAATTCATATTCAAACTTGTATGGCTGCAGGGATTTTGTCCCCAGGCTCCGCGTCCATGCAGATAGGTTACTAGAGTTCGCAAAAACTGCGTGGCTGATAGATCCTCGCATTGCTTTATCGTTGGTCGCGAGGTTTCCAGCTTTCAACAATTTGAGATCGGAAGTGGCTGTCATGGTGCAGGTTCGTTATCGAAAATATAAAATTCTTAAATCTTTGTGACGGTTTCTGTTCAGGAACACCTTACTGAACTACGGGAAATTCCGGAAGCTCTACCATACTTTGTGACTCCCAAGGCTGTAGATGAAAATTCACCTTCTTTGCAACAACTTCCTCACTGGGCTCTGTGCTCGATAACTCGCGCCTTGGAGTTCTTGACTCCTCCTTACAAGGGCCATCACAGAGTAATGGCCTACGTGCTTCGTGTAATGGAGTCCTATCCACCTGAACGAGTTACCTTTTTCATGCCACAACTTGTTCAAGCGCTTCGCTACGATGATGGGGTAAGGAATAGTTTCTGTGTGAGCATAAAACGTATATATGTACCTTTTAGGGACTTGTCGAAGGGTATCTTATGGTTGCTGCTAAGCGAAGCAACCTTTTTGCACATATTCTGATATGGGAGCTTCAGGTAGGCTTCCATACTGCTTAGTAATTTATCCTTATTCTCGTAAATGCTAGGGTGAGGAGGTTCCAACTGAAGAATTAAACAAGGATGCCAAAGATTCATTGGGACCCAAGGTTGGAGTATTTATGAAGAATGTAAAGTTCTAATGTGGAATGCTCGCAGGGTGTATCACTGTCCGAAATAGTACCACGAGTTAAACAACGAATCATCGACAGTTTTACAGCTGAGACATACGACATTTTCATCCGGGAATTTAGATTTTTTGACCAAGTGACCTCGATCTCGGGGTTCCTGTATCCCTTACCGAAGGAAGAACGTCGAGGTGCAATCCGACAGTAAGTTTCCATCATGTTTTAGTCGCTGTAGCTCACTATCATTTCAGGCAATTAGAAAAGATTGAAGTGACGGGAGACGATTTGTACTTGCCAACCGCTCCGAACAAGCTTGTCCGAAGCATACAATTGGACAGTGGAATCCCTTTGCAATCAGCTGCCAAAGTTCCGATCATGATCACATTTAATGTCGTGGATAAGGAGGGAGATTCCAAGGATATCATACAACAAGCCTGCATTTTCAAGGTTTTGTGATTTTCTAGAGACTTTTTAGTCCGACTCGGTTGATGCAGGTTGGAGATGATTGCCGTCAAGATGTCCTGGCTCTTCAAGTCATTGCTCTGCTCAGGGATATCTTCCAAGCTGTGGGACTAGACCTCTATGTTTTTCCTTATGGTGTTCTACCGACTGGCTATGGCAGAGGAATAATTGAGGTGACAAACTTATGAGACTTTTAAATCTCACGTTTCTTCTACTTTTTCCAGGTGGTACCAAATACTCGAAGCCGTAATCAAATGGGAGAGATTAGCGACGGTGGACTATATGAGCTTTTCCAGCAGGACTATGGGCCAGTGGGTTCTGTCCGCTTTGAAGCAGCTCGCGACAAGTTTATTGTAAGTAGCGCTGGATACGCAGTTGCCAGTCTTCTGCTACAACCCAAAGACCGGCATAACGGCAACCTTCTATTCGACAAGTAAGTTAAAACCCGTTTTTTCCGTTTAAGCTGTTTTACATGGGGTCCGTTTTTCAGTGAAGGCAGACTGGTGCACATAGATTTCGGATTCATCCTCGAGACGTCGCCAGGGGGAAACCTGCGATTCGAGAGCGCGCAGTTCAAGCTGAGCCACGAGATGACCCAGTTGATCGATCCATCCGGCGTCATGAGAAGCGAGACCTGGAACCGGTTTGTCAGGTTTGTGTTTCTAGTTTCCGTTGAGGCGTCCGCGTCCCCGGCAATTAAAAAACGTGTTCTTATGGTTTTGTCGGTGCTTGGACAGCTTGTGCGTGAAAGGATACTTGGCAGCGAGGCAGCATATGGATGGCATTGTTAACACAGTGCTGCTGATGATCGACAGCGGATTGCCGTGCTTTAGCCGAGGAGATCCCATTGGCAACTTACGCAGGCGCTTTCATCCGGATATGACCGAACGAGAGGCCGCCAACTTTATGATCCGGACGTGCGCAGATGCGTATAACAAATGGTCGACTGCGGGGTATGATCTGATCCAGTACCTCCAGCAAGGAATCGAAAAGTAGCCGAGCCAGAAGCCCGTGAATCGAACGAAGAAAAGAAACAAGATACGTTTTCTTTCTTTTTTTCTGGCTTCTCATCATCAACATCATCATAATCGTGTATAAACAGAGCTCTTCTCGTGAATTGAGTCAGAACTTCAAGAAGCTCTGCCGAGCAACCAATCGAGCACTCCGCAGCATCCGGAAGCTCTCTCAGCCAACTGAAGAGAATCGAATGGCACTGTTAGAACAGGGAAGAGGGAGACAAAAAAAAGTTACCTTTTGGGGGGTGGACTCGTGACCGGCCTGTAGCTTTTGGTCGCCATCGCTGGTAGTAGCAGCAGCAGTGATGGGCTTGGATGTGTCGATGGTAGCTGCCACATCTTCGACAGTAGCAGTGGACTTTTGATCTTCAAAGCTAGCGGCAGTAGCAGCAGCAGCAGGGTCGTGATCTTCAATGGGAGTATCGCGATCTTCAGTGGGAATGTTGTGATCTTCAGTGGGAGTAGTAGCGACGGTGTTGTGATCTTTAGCAGCGGCAGGAGGAGGCTCGAGCTCATCGACTTTTTCCGTATGGCGTTCTTGGTCTGCGAGATGATGGTGGTCGTCCTCTGGTTCTTCGTGAGCGTGGAACTTGGTGGGAGTTTGCGGCGGTGGGGTGCCAACATCAAACTCGGCGGACTGCCTCACCCATTCCTCCACGTTGCTGTGCTTGCGGTCCTGCTGCTTGCGCCGCTCCTCATCGTCCCCCTGTTGGTGAAGATGGTGCTCCAGATCCAGATTTGGGGGCTCGTGATGCTGGTGGTGGTGCTGGGATCTCGGTGTCGGCGTCGTGGCCGCGCTGCTGCTCAGATCGTCATCGTCCAGGAGGGACTCGCTACCCGTCTCTGCGAGAAAGAAGAATCACTCAATCAGCAGCCATCGCTTCACACAACAGTGAGCTCGCGCTGTGCGTGTGTGTGTGTGTGTGTGAGCCCTTTTGCTTACCTGATCCATTGCCATTGTGGTGCTGCCGCTCTTCCTCAGCGCGCTGCTCGCGCTGCTTTCGCCGCCGCGCTGCTTGCCGCTTCTTAGGGCCGGACGGCATTATCCCTCCCTCCCGCCCTCTCTCTCGCTATCTCTATCGCTCGCTCACTCTCTTCTCTAGCTAATTATGATAGCGCTCTGTTTTGGACACGCAAAAAGGGGCTCTGCCAAATTGGTGGGGACTCACCACTAATAAACGCGAATTTCTAACCCTAATGATAGCAGAATATTCCTTCCCGCCCAGCAAAATCTAGGGTTCTTCGCGTCCGGGATTTATCCACTGGCTCAGAAACCACTCCTGCCTAATGCCAAGAAACAATGCTGCCTTAGATCTTGCGAGCTGCTAGAAATCCGTGAATCTGAGATCGTGCTTACCAGGGCGGCGTAATCCTCTTCGGTGAGGAGGGACTCGGTGATCGTTTCCAGGCCAAGCTCGGCGCTTTCTCCCTCGCGATGGTCTCTTTCCTCCTCCTCCCTGCTGCGCCGTGGATTGTCCGCCGCTATCGCATCGCCGCGGAGCCGCTCAATCGGGCTCGCGGTGGAGAGGATTTCGGCGATTTCGGAGCTACCGATCAGCAGCACGGCGATCCGGAATGATCATCGATCGCGCTGCCGTGCTCCTGGATTCCCTCCTGCGCGCTACTGTCGTAGGTGCCTCGTTGTTCCCATCCTCGTCTGCCACCCGGAGAAAGACGCGCGCATTCGTGAGAATCGCGAGCACCCTGGCGGATTCCACAAAGAACCGGCGATAGCAAGCTCGCCGATCGGACGCATCGGCGATGAACTCCAATGGGAGCTTCCTCTTCCCCATTTTTCTATTTCTCCACGATTACTCTTTTAACCATTAGGTTTTTTGGCGCTTTGTTAGGGCTTTAGGCTATGAGCGTGGGAGCGATGGAGGCCACGGCGGTGAACTGGGGCGCGCTAGATGCGCTGGTGCTGGATTACTGCATCGCGGAGGAGCTAGTCGTCGTGGAGGACGATCTAGTGGATGATTCTAGTCGAGGTAACGTCGCTGCTCGGGACGCCATTCGGCAGATTAGGTCTCTCATCGAGTGTGGTGCCATCACCGAGTCTGTGGCGCTCCTCACCAAGCATGCGTCGCTGCTGATGCAGGACCAGCGATTTCTTTTCTGGCTCTATAAGCAGGTGAGTGATTTCTTCGATTGTTCTATTGATTCAGCTCCTGCTTTCTCCATCCAGCACTTCATAGAAATTCTCCGTGGTGGTGGAAACGCTGCTCGTTTGCAGGCGATTGAGTGCTCTAGATCTCAGCTCGGGCCTTGCGCTCTTAACGCTTATCCGGTGGGTTTTTCTTCTTTTTTCTTTCTCCCTCGACTTAGTGCTGCTCGATATGCAGGAAGCGTACGAGGAGTTCAAGCGAGTTCTTCTTGCCTTGATATATGATAGTGATTATCAAAATTCTCCAGTTGCTGAAGAGGTTTGCATCAAAAAGTTTCGCTCACCTCGATTTACTGATTTGCATTCTCGTTGCAGTGGTGCGAAGCGAGACGAGCAAACCTGGCGGCAACGGTGGCATCCACTTTGAAAGCTCACATGCATGCCGATGATCCACTTTTCTCCTTGGCGATTTGCTACTTGATCAGGTTTGTGTCACTGCTTTGGAAGCTACCTAACCTCCGGTTTGTTTGTCAGTGTACACAACGCGTACTGCATGAGAAAGAATTTGCCGCTTGGAGATATCGCGTCCGGCATACTTCTTAAAGACCGAGATCCTCCTCCGGCGTTTCAAGACCTGTCTGGGGAAGTGCAAACTTTCAATGAGGTACTGTTTTGCATCTGCTACCGTTTTCTGTTCACGAACCAGATGGTCACGTCTCAGGCGTCCAACCTCTGTGCCAGGTTGATGTACAAGCTCTAGCACAGGCGGCGGAGCTTCCCAGGCACGATGCCATCCACAGTCTAAGGTACACGCGCGGAGATGTCATGGCGGCTTTGAAGGTTTATTATCCGTTTTTTTTTTTTCTTACATCACTGCTTTCCTAATCTCGTTTTTACCTCACAGAATGAGCTGAGCAGAATAAGAATAAACACATCCATCCTTGACAAGCTGGTGTGGGAATATTGCGTCTACAGAGGCTTGATTAACACCAGTCCAGAAGTCTCGAGTTCAGCGGATTCCGTGGCATCGCCGTCTGGAAGAACGACAGACGTTATGGATGAAGACTCCTCACCGCGCATTGGTTCTGGGGATACAGTCTGTTCTAGAGCGGAAGAGGCTGATAGTAGTAGGAGCAAGAGCTACAGATGGAAGGGTAGACGTTCCAGCAAGCAACAGATGGCTGTGGTAAAAGCCGACGTGGAGATGGTGCCAGCAGAAAATTCAGTCAGTCTTTCCTTATCGCGTGCATTGGATTTGAGACTTAGATCGGCTGTTTTATAGGGGACACCTGATGCAGCCTTTGAGAAATACAGACGATCGGTACAAATACGGCAGCTGATCACGGAGAAGAAGATTCCGGAGGCAATTCAAGAAGTGGAACACTTGGACCCGTGTTTCTTTGAGAACCACCCGCAGCTGCTGTTCCAAATGAAACAGGCAAGGAGATGATATTATCCATTCAATTCATTCATGAATTATTTCGTTTCCAGGTAGCGTTTTGTGCTTTGATAGAGGCTGGAGATCATAGCCGGGCGTTGGAGATCGCGAGGGTGGACTTGGGACCTCTTGCTGCAAAGCACGCGGATTTGCTCAAGCCTTTAAAGGAGACGGTGTTGAGTTTAGCGCGCAACCCGGGGGAGGCGTGCTCAAATCAAACACCAGTCGCTGCTCTTGCCGCATCTGTACAGGTAGAGCGAAAACTCTGTTCCCTGAATCCACACTGATATCTTGTCGGCGCGTGCAGATGACTTTAAGTGCGAGCTTGGGCATCAGGGAGCCTCAACTCATGAAACTAATGAGGACTTGCCTGTTTGCTCACACGGAATGGTTCAAAGTCCAGATGTGCTCGGATCCTTTCGCGGACCTTCTCCAGATCAACTTGCTCAAGGAGGAAGAAGGCGCACCGTCCAAGGTGTCTGCACAGAAAGCGGAATCCGGCAGCGCGGAGCAGCAGCAGCAGCAGCAGGTTCCTCCGCAAGAGAAGCCACCGTTTGAAGAGTCCGCCATCTTGACAATCATGGTAACTTTGGGAGTTTTTCTTTCTTACATCGTGTGGAAACCTCGGGGCTTTTGTTTTTGCAGGAGTGGATGGCATTGCCTCGTGGAGATGCCATCCAGCTTTTGGTGGATTACCATGGGAGCGTGGAGGAGGTTTTTGCACAGCTTATGGGTTAGAAAACAGTGTCTTCTTCTTCATAGTAAAAGCACAGTTACATTGGATAGATCCTGTGAATCAAAGACCAAAATTTTAAGAGACACAAACTGGTAGTACAGGAGGGGAGCTTGAAGATCACGCGGGAGGCTCAGATGATCCGGTTCCTGATGTCCTCTAGCTTCTTCATCACCTCTCCGGGAGTCCTGTCCAGCTCCTCGGCAATTTTGCGCTGTAAGTCTGGCGGAAGTGTGGGATATTGTTCGCATAGATCTCCATCAATAACATCCTGGATTTTAGACACTTGTCAGTACGAGCAAGAAGAAAAAAAGAGTGACAAAAAGGAAGAAGTCTACTGACCTTGACAGGGAAGTAGGCCGAGCGAAAAGCCATGTGATCGCGGCCGCACAGCGGTGGATGCTCCTGTCGCATATGCATCTCCAAGTGCGAGAAGAAATCCACGTCCTCTCGCGACGAGAATGGCAGCAGCGCCCCCACAGAGCCCATGACCGTGCCATAGATCACGCTCTCGCCCCCGCCTGGGATGAGCGACGCCTTTTGCATGCACGTCACCACTTCCCCGACGTGGAACTGGATGATCTCCTCCACCTTGTTGGGAGCTCCGTTGAGCCGGCCCTGCTCCCACTTTATCTTGCCACCCGTCGGGTCGTCCTCGATCTCCTCCGACAGGTCTTGCGGCAGCCGCACGAAGAAGAGGTTCCCGAACTTGTCTCCCGCGGCCATGGTGTCGAAGTCGATGTGCAGCGACGCTGTCAGCCACCTGGGGCTGCTATCGTCGGCGAAGGCGTAGAGCTGGTTTTCGTCTCGCCGGTACTTGACGTAGTGGAAGGACTGCAACCAAAACAGAGCGTTAGTCACTGGCAGCACGCGAGCAAATGTGTTTTCTTACCTCTTGGATGTCGCCCACGTAGATCCTGTCGCCGTAACTGTGGATGGAGGTGATGGTGTTCGGGAAGTTTTTGTTCTCGCATTTCCTCAGCAGCTTCCGCTTGCCAAGGTCGTAGATCCGAAGTATCTGCCCGATGCCGGCAAGCAGACGGCCCTGGAACTGGCAGAGAGCGGTCGGAACGCCGTCGATGGGTGTCTTGTGCACCAGCTCCAGAGATCTGCCGTCCTCGACAAACCGGTATATGTGGATGAAGCCACCCATCGATCTCCGCTTGGGCCACCACTCCAAGTCCTTGGCAGTACCCACAGCAAGAACTGTTCCGAGGTTCTTGTTGTCGTGAAAGTTGACGCAGCAGATGCTAAAGGCCGCCTCGTTCTCCTGCAGCTCCAGCAGGCACGTTGTGGCCGCTGCCTTGGGATCCAGGACTCTGATGCACGACACCCACCTCCTCGAGTCGGTTTTGGGATAGCCATACTGCTCGTCGGGCATTGGCTCCTCCTCGGACTTCTCCTGGTTGTCGATCTCCATCATCCCATTGTCTTGAGCTGCAGCGCTCCTGCTCATGTGTTCGCGCTCCTCGGTCGTGAACGTCCCCTGGTCGGTCTCGATGAGCACCAGAAACTTCCGCTTGGGATGCAGGATAAACTTCCTGGGCGTGTATCGAAGTTGGATGGACGTCTGGTTGAAAGTCTCCCCGAGCCTCTCAATCGTGAAGACTCGCAGCGCTTCGCCAGCCACGGCCACAACACCCTCTGCGCATTGGTCCGATGAGAAGGAGGCCGCATACTCCAGGGTCTCGTAAGAAAGTGGAGTCAGGAGGAAGTGTCCCTGGTGAATGTAACCGAGCCACGGCCGACTGGAGAGGCACAAGAGTGCCTGACGGCCCCGAACAGACGTCGCAAAGAGCTTGGGAGCTCTCAGGCCCAGAAACCTCGTTCGAGTCCCAGATAGCTGCCCGGTGACCATGTCAACTTCAGTCCTGAGAAGAACGCCGTTCTGAAGGCCGGCGTTGAGGAAAACACTCGCTGGATACACTGCACCATCTTCTCCACCTGTTGACGCCTGAACTTCGAGCAAGAGCAGTGACTCTGGTGGGGAAGCCACCATCTGGACGCTCAAGATGTGCATGCAATCGTTGGGGTCGAGCGAGAGGATGCGGATGGTGTTGTCGTAGGAGCCAACAGCGAGGAACCGAGAACGCTGCCTGCCTTCTGGAACTGGGCCTATAGCCAAGCAGGCCACATCCCCCGACATTTCTCGCTTCTCTATCTCCATGAGCTGCCCCGTCGGATCCATCTCGAAGTAAATCAGCTCACCGCCGCTCAAGCCTATCACCACCTGCATCCTGTTGGAGCCAACTTTGACGATGGTCTTCTTGCCGGGAGTTTTCCACTCGTTTATGCGCACTAATGACCGAATGTGTCGGATCCCATTGGGATACACCTGCATTAGCGAGTCGTCCCCGAGCAGAGAAACTTGAAGAGAAGGTGTCGTGTCCAGAAATCCGCTGTCACTGACTTCCTCCACTGTTTCGCCGATGGACAGCACCAGCGTGGCGTTCAGAAAGGACACCACGATGTAGGCATCGAACTCGTCGGTGACACTCTTCTTCACCGTCCACACAGCACTCGGTACTCCCGGAAGCTGTGACACTGCCATCTCGGACACTGCAAGACCCGGCCTGAGTATCCGCAGCGTCGAGCGAGGACCTCTCCCGCAAGCCACGAAAATCTGGGGCGTTTCCTCTTCGAACAAGTTGGCAATCTTCATGTCCATAATTGGCATGAGGCTCTCCCCCTCGTCAATCTGGATCAAGTTCTTGAGCTTGCGGGGCTGGAAAAAGATGGGCTTAAAACCATCTTCGGTCTCCTCGAGAGTTGCAGAAGAGGATTCTACGTCCGGGTCGTCGCCAATACCCTGGAACTGATAGAGCGCATGGTTTCCAAACTCGGAAGCAGCAAAGAGGAAGCCGCTCTTGAGAACGCACATTGCCGAGGTGACGGGAAAGGTGTCGAAGTACTTGATCTTGAGCTCTGTCACCACCATATCCGTATCGTTGAAGCTCAGCGTCACCTTAAAAACATCCCCATACTCGGTCTGGAGGAGAAAGAAAAAGACGCTCTTTTGCCTGTGCGTCGCGGCCGAAACGACGAGCACACCCCTGTCCGCCGGCAAGTCGGCTCGCCTGGGGATCAGAGCTCTCAGCTCTTGGGACTGGTTCTTGTAGATGACGAAGTTATCCGCGCAGACCAAGACTCCACTGGGTCCATCGGCACCGCCGGGAACGGTGACGAGCATGTTGGCACCATTGTCTATGGGCTCGCTCCACTTGCGAACGACGTGATTCAGTCCCAGGTCCAGCTCGTAGAAAGTGAGGTGCTTCTGTGCCTCGAGCGCCGCCTGGCCCGTGGCGTCCTGGTCGGCGTCCGAGTAGTCGAGCTCGATGGCGGCGAACATCGGGTTCTCAAAGCCACAGTCCACCCCGACGAGGGAGTAGACAACGGTGTGGGACTTGTGAGCCTCCAAAGGAGAGGAAATGGTGAGCCTGGCCGCGTTGTCCCGGTTGAGCACGTAGACGAGCTTCTGCTTCTCGGTGGCGGCGATCATCACCGCCCGGCCCTTTGGATCCACGGACAAGAACTGGCCGGGCACGATGCGGCGGCACCCGGATTTCCCAAACGTCTCCTTGTGGACGGGATCGAAGGCGTTCCTGTCGCGATTGTACTCGAGGATGACGATCTTGCCCGAGTCGGAGCCGACGACGAGGTAATCCTTGTGGGATCCGGTGAGGCGGAACTGCGCGAGCGAGCGGACGACGCCAAATATTTCCACCGCGAGCAGCGTCTGGAGCTTGCCATTGTCGTCGGGGCGCAGGAGCTCTAGGATCTTACCGCGGCCGATGACGATCTCCTGGCTCTTGCCGCCGATGAAGTTGCCGTAGCAGGCGCACACGATCCCAGTGGCGCGCTGCAGCGTCAGGCTGTACAAGAACATTGCCGCTGAGCTAAAACCCTAGCCCGAGAGCTCAAGAGCCCTAACGCATCAAAAGAGAATATCCTGTGAACTCATTTAACCAACAAACGTTTACTTCTTTCACTATCAACAAATCAAACGCCAACCCAACCTCGCCTGCCTCGTTAGTCACTTCTTCAAAACACTGCCAATCAAGCGAGCAGAGAGAATGAATGAGACGGTGCAAAGGGAAGGAAATCTTCGACTTACTTATACAAGTATCCAGCGATTCCTAAAACGATGCACAAAAGAATGATATCGATGCAGAAATTCCTGCTAGATCGCATCTACAGCGAACAAAGCCCCGGTAAGAAGCCACAATCTCGAGAAAGTAAGCAAGAGGTACCTTGTTCACAGTATCTTTCAATCTCACGTTCGTGGTTCTAAGCTCAGCGTTGGCGTAATCCACCTGCGGCAACACTCAAGCTTCAGCTTTCTTCCAGATCAACAAACAATGAATGCCGCACCTTGCTGTCAATCTCATCGATCAGAGGGACCTGCCTGTCCATTTCCTGTAGAAATAGTCACGGATTTAAATCGGCACTTGAAAGAAGGCATAGAATAGCTCTTACTTCGTTGATATCTTGAGCCATGTTTCGCAAAGTGGAGAGACCTTCGGCTATTGTATCCAGGCCTTGATCCTACCAAAGAACAAAAACACAACTTCACTGTTAGACAATAGAAAAGAATAAAAGCAAAGTGCAAGTCAACTTTACCTGTCTAGCTTTCCGAGTCTCGTACTCCTGTCGGAACCCCTTCGATTCTTCGGAGTGCTCGTACTGCTCGGGACGCATCACGTCCTCTAGAGGTTGCATGAAAGAAGAACTATAACCTCCGAAGCAACGATAGAAGCTTTTTCTAGAAACATACCGGGACTAACCGAGTCGATCTTGATCTCCATTTTGTTGTTGGACGCGCTTTTGCTGTTGCCCCAGCTGCTTCGTTTGTTCCCCAAGTTTGTTCCCTCTGGAATCGATTCAATCTTCTCAGCAAGCGCAAGGACGAGGTCTGGACGAGCTTCCATTTCTTCCCTGGAAAGTCCCTTCACCTGGACAAACAAACCAAAATTTCCTTGATTATGATACCACCGCAGGCGTACACAAACTATGCTAGCTTACCTTTCTAGGAGCGAGCTTCTCCAGCTTTGGGATCTCATTCCTTAGCGCGGCCTTGGATCGGCGGACTTCGGCATTCAATGCGGCTACAGTAGCTCGATTCTTCTCCGTGGCGGCCTCGTTCGCTTTCTAGACAGGGATAATCGCCTCACTGGGCGCTCGGCGGTGGAAATTTTGGTGTTACCTGGAGCGTGGTCTCCACATCCGCGTTGAGAACCGTGTAGAGCTTGAGGAAGCCATCGGTGGAGGAGATCTGCGCGTCCCGCTGCCGATCCAGATCATACTTCTCGTACTTCTGGCACAGCGCATCGACGCGCGTGAGAATGTCGATGACGCTCATCTTGCGCTTCCCTCAAAAACCAAAGCCCTCACTCTCTTCGCAAGCTCCCCTCGTCGGGGGTTCGAATCCGGGGAGCTCGATTCTATTTGACCTAAACTTTCTGGGTATCGAACCACGACCGGGTGTTATAAGAAAATGGCCATGGCAGCACCATCGTCGTGGGAAGCAGGGATTTGGCACAAGAAGAAGAGCAATGGACGCATTCCTCTCGGCGCCATCGCCAGAAAGCATGGTAATATCGCCATGTCTTGCAGCTCCTTCTCGTCACTGCTGCTCTCCAGATCCAAGGACGATCATCATCCGGTGGAGCGCGAGAGAGATCCCAAGAAGCGCGTGGTGATCACCGGCATGGGATTGGTGTCCGTCTTCGGCAACGATGTGGATTCCTTCTACGACAAGCTCCTCCAGGGCGAGAGCGGGATCACGCTCATCGACCGCTTCGACGCGTCCAAGTTCCCGACGCGATTCGGCGGCCAGATCCGCAACTTCTCGTCCCAGGGCTACATCGATGGCAAGAACGACCGGCGCCTCGACGATTGCCTGCGCTACTGCCTGGTGAGTGGGAAGAAGGCGCTAGAGAACGCGGAGCTGGATACAAGCAAGGTAAAATCTCTCGAGCTCCTCAAATATTTCGATGATATGATCGCTGCATTGTCTGTCTAGATCGACAAGGAGCGTGTTGGCGTCGTGGTGGGATCGGGAATGGGAGGTCTCTCGGTGTTCTCGGATGCTGTCCAGGCGCTCGGTGACAAAGGCCACCGCCGCATCACTCCCTTTTTCATTCCCTACACCATCACCAACATGGGCTCGGCGCTCATCGCCATCGAGCTGGGATTCATGGGGCCGAATTACTCCATCTCCACAGCCTGTGCCACTTCCAACTACTGCTTCTGCGCTGCGGCCAATCACATTCGTCGCGGGGAGGCCGACGTTATGCTTACCGGTGGCACCGAGGCCCCGATCATCCCAGTCGGGCTTGGCGGATTCGTTGCTTGCCGGGCTCTGTCGCAGAGGAACAGCGATCCCCAGACGGCTTCTCGGCCATGGGACAGAGATCGAGATGGATTTGTCATTGGAGAAGGCGCCGGAATTCTGGTATGATCTTCCATCTTTCTTACGTAGTATGATCTTCCATCTTTTGTTTTTTCCTTGCGTGGTTTTCCAACTTTCCAACTTTGTACCAGGTGATGGAGAGTTTGGATCACGCCATGAGGCGAAACGCGCCCATTCTTGCGGAGTACTTGGGTGGCGCTGTCACTTGTGATGCTTACCACATGACTGATCCTCGAGCCGATGGATTGGGAGTTTCAACGTGCATTACGCGTGCACTAGATGACGCGGGTGTACATCCAGAAGAGGTATTATCTCTTTGCGCTCGTCTCGATCATTCTCACCAAGGTTTTCAGGTGAATTTTATAAACGCTCACGCTACATCCACTCCAGTTGGCGACATGGCTGAGGTGAATGCCATTAAAAAAGTATTCAAGGATACGTCAGAGATGAAGATGAACGCTACCAAGGTACGTCTGATTGCTGCAATGCTGCTATTGTAACTTGAGCCTTTCTAGTCGATGATTGGACATTCTCTTGGAGCCTGTGGTGGCCTGGAAGCCATTGCCACCATCAAAGCTATCAAGACTGGATGGGTTCATCCAACTATCAACCAATTTGTGAGTCGGAATAGCTTGCTTGTTCACGATCACTCACAATCCTTTCGGCAGAATGTTGACCCGCTAGTAACATGTTTTGATACGGTTCCAAACGTGAAGAAACAGCACGAGATCAACGTTGGTAAGTAAAACGACGTCGTTGGAAGCAAGGCAGTACTAACACGACTCCACACAACAGCTATTTCGAACTCGTTTGGCTTTGGAGGCCACAATTCGGTGGTCGTCTTCGCACCGTTTGTTCACTAAGTAAAAAGATCTATTCAGTTTCCCCAGACAGCCAACACGTCTTGCTGGCGAGAGCAAGACGATTTAAAATATACAGTCTAGTATGCGAGCTGGAAATAATCTCTCAAGTTTTTTGCGAGTCCTTCCTGGTCGGCTTTCTCAAATCGTCGAAACTGGGTTTGCCATTGTATTCCTGTGACGAAGGCTTTAAAGAAAAGAAAAAACTTTGGTTCTGGGACAGTCTTACCTCTGCTCGCGCACACTTGCTATTGCGTCTCGACTCTAAGACGCTCGCTTCTGCATGGTCTATACATTTTCCATGGAAACGAACGTGGCCATCCGTGTCGTTCACAGTTTCGATCTGGAGCAAGCCCTGTAATGGAGGATCATCACTTTGCGAAAAAAAAGAAAGAAGCAAACAATGTCCTAACCTTGGAATGAGCACACCAGGCATGAAAAGGAACAGCACACTTCGCCTCGTGACACTGAATACATGAGCCACCTTCTCGTTTGCATATGGTGCAAGTCTAAACAAGAACCCAGAACAGAGAAAAACATAAGACCATAAGACCAAAGTTTTTTCTCTACGTACCAGTCGTCTCCTGGAAACCGAAACTCCAGATACGTCGAACATCCCCATCGTTCCAAGGTTGAGGCACCTCGTCCCGGGCATCCACAGGGCGCACACCATATGAACCCATTGTGCGACGCTCGGATCACTCACGGAAGCCGTGATGGTGTTGCTGACTTCTTCGATTTCCCTGGCGCTGTTTCTCTCCGATCGGCGTACCTGCTTAAGCCCAGGCTTGGGCCGTTCACCGCTTCCGGCCTTCCATGCCTTAAGTAGTCCCTTCACGACGGTCTGCGCGTTTTGAGCTCGAGTCATCGCCCCGCCGCGATATCCACACAGGACACACACCTGGAATGAAACCACTCGTCCATCAGCAACTGGCTAACAAGTTAAACTACTTACGATGTTCTCGACTTCGGACTTGCATGGACGGCACGTCCACGAGGACTTTGGAACCTTAGGAACTCCATAGCAAGCTTGATGGACCTGCTTTGAGCGCAAAATTCGTAAATCGTTTAAAAACAAATTTCGTTACCTTCACTGGACACGCGCTACAGTAGATGAGCTGATTGTGTGATTCGGACTTTGAACTCCCACAAACGGAGCAAGCGTTTTCCTTGACAGGTTGAGCCTTCTTGCAATGCTTCTTCAGCTCCAACTCATCTTCTACACACTTCAGTTTTACTGTCTGCGTTGTTCCAGGTTCACGAATGCCGCTGCATGGCGAAAACAATTTTAGTCCATCCCGCAACTTTGAAACTCCAAACCTGAAAGTAGAGGTTGTTTGTTGGTGATTCGTAGTCCTCCTTCGCTTTACAACTTCGGTTTCTGCTAATGAGCTCTTCCCTGTCTGCCCTGACTCCAGTTTCTTTTTCGCAACCGACGATGTCTGTCTTTGGGAATCATCGTCAGTTGCTAGAGACTTTGTTTTCCTGGTAGCTCCTCTTGGAGACCTTTCACCACGAGGAATGATACTTTGTCCCACTCTGAAAGGCCGACAAGTTACGTTTGCAGAAGGGTCAGGCATTGACGAATTGAGCTCAGACAGCTTACGCTTGCGGATCTCTTTGCGTAGAGCACCACCATCTTCCTTACACCCCTGTCCTTCAGCATTCTTTGAAAAACGGGGAAATCCTTCCAGACTGATTCTCCGTTCAGTTGCGTGCTTCATTATCGACTTCATTGACATCATCTTCCCGTTTCCACCGTTCCCCGTCCGGTTGTGTTTTCTTTGATCGCTACTGTCGGAATCCTGTTCGTCTGTGCCGGCTGGTGGGTCTCGACTCTTAACTTTGATTTTCAAAAGAGTGTTTTTCTGCTTCCCCCTGGCTATGTCGCCGTGCGAGTCCTTGAGAAGGAGAGATGCAGAACGGGTCTTCCTCACAGTTGTTCTCGATCGCTTTTGCTTCGGTGTAAGCTTACATAGAGCAGTGTTTTGTTCCTCATCATCCCTTTGCTGCCGTCGGTTCGAAGCAGGGAGCTCGGAAACGCCTGAATCATTACCCTTGGAATTCCTAGCCATGATTGTGTCGTTGAGGCTCGCCACCTTTTTCCGGCCTCTTCTTTCAACCTTGTCTTCATGTTGCACTTCTTGCAACCCTTCTATCATGACGGACTCATTAGCCTCGCTGGAAGAGCGGTCGCTTGGTGAGAGTGATAACTCCCGAGTATCTCCAGCTTCAAACTTTTCGGAGCTGGATTTTCCAATACCCGAGCCTTCATCAATTAAGTCATGCTCTCGGCTCTCCGACTCCAGTGTCGAGGCTTCATCATTCACGTCGTCGTGTGCATCTGAAAAACTCGCAACGTTCTCCGAGCTTTTAGTTGAAACCTCGCTAGTTTCATCCTCGTCCTCGAGTGAGGTGGTCTTGCCAGCTAGAATGCCTTCACCCGTGGTTTCACCGGGGACTTCTAAGCCATCACACGGCTTTGCAGGCGCGTTCCACCCAAAGGAACCATTTTCAAGCGGCACGTTTTTTTCCGAATGAACTGTGCCTGTAGGCAACTCATTTTCACCAACCGATACTAGTAGCCCAGAATTTGCCGGTATAATTGACGATGTATCTTCGTGGTGCTGGCCTGGTTTCCCCTCTAGAAGACTATCCCTTGTCAGATTTTGCGAGCTGGCGGCATGACTATTCCTTTCACCTTGTACTAAGAGCGCGGTAGAGTTTCTGCAGAAAGAGCTGATATAGTTTAAGCATATGCAGACTTAACCGACCTGTTTGCTTCGTCGACAATGTATGGATGCTCCACTATCGCCTTGTGATCCAAAGCGCTTTTTCCTGAAGTGAAGAATACAACTTAGAAAGGTAATCCTCAGCGTAGATTATACCTGGAGTGGCAATCGAAGGATTCGCTGGTTCTGTTTCAGCTCTCCCGTTGTCACATAAACGTGCTTTGGATCTAAATTGCTCGCCGATGTGAAGAGCTTCCTGTCCATCGAGCACAGATCCTGTTGCTTTGTGTTCCATACCCTGTTGCTGTATACAGCTACTACTGCTCATTCGGCACGCCAAAGTTTCCTGGGGTGCGGGTGCAGCCCGGGTCCCATCACCCCCAAAGCAGTGTACCACCTCCTTCTCTTTACTTTGCAAATACCGAGTCCCATTGTTGGACCATCCCACTTGAGAGCATTCTTGTGAGACGTATTGCTGACTATCCATCTGAGTAAATCCAACAACGTCGTTAAGCAGCCGATGACTCACCATTCTCTGCTTCATCTGTGACTGTGATAGCAGTTCAAGCGAGTTTTCTGGCACGTGAGGTTTTAACTGGTAGAAAGAGTCCCCATGCTCTGACGAAACTCTGTTCCCATTCTGATTTGGTGGCTCCGTCCAGAACTTTGTCCTCTCACTGAGTACTGTTCTTTCCAATGCGGCCGGGCCATAGTGACCGAAGTTCACAACGTTGATTTTCTCCAGTCGTTGTTGTTGGGTAAACTGCTGAACATCTTGCTGTGACTGGAAACCATAGCCATGTACTGATCCCGGGTGAAGGCTGGCATCAACTGCACAAACATATACAGAAACCTTGTCAGCCGAAGGGTCAAGCGGACTTACGTACTCTTTTGATACGCTCTTTCATAAACGAGTGAGGTTGGCTGATCCATCTCTGTAGTCTGCATCTGTGACCGGAAGGCTGTGCCGAATGATGCTCCTGCTTTCTGTGCTTGCTGTGACGGCTGCCCCAGCCTCAACTCAAAGCTCGACGCAAAACTGTCCTTGTCCTGTCTGACGTTCTCGTCCCAAGGTTTCCTTGCTTGATCAGAATGCAAGATCCTTTCCCGCAAACCAAGCTGTTGTTCAGCAGACGAATAGGCTCGACCACCATTGATGAAGTCGAAATGCATTGGCTTGACGGCACCCACAATCCGTTGAAACTGCGGTGAAAGAAGCTCAGCGCCTTTCGAACTTCTGTTGCAGCCTTGGAAAACAGCGTCCTGGTAATTCCCATAGTTCAGACTCGCAGGGAGGTTTGCCATCTGAACGGGCTGGCAACTGGTAAAAGTCTCAGGCAACTTAGGAGTGTGTACGTTTCTACTCGTTTCACTTCCATCACCAGAGTCCCATCCAGCTTCGTCATCCGGCACAGGAACCTGTGCGCATACGTTAGCTAGAAAAGACGGGAGAAGATGATAACACGAACCCCGACTCGTGTAAAGACTTTTCTGCGCCACTGGACTAGTGTCTCCCCCGTTTCCAAGTAGACAGCATTGCCGGGATTGACAGAATGAGAACCAGCATGCTGATGCAATGAAAAGAAAGTAAGAGAGTGAGAGAGAATAAAAAAAGAACGCACAGATCGTCTAAATCTCTACCGGCACTTGCCTGGACAAACTTGGCAACTGTCATCGCGCAGCCGTGACACAAACACACCACCTCCAGCCGACCCCTATCAGTGAGAAGCAACTCTCCATCTGTTGTCGGGAAAAGCCCGAGCAAGATGACGTCAAAGAGATGATCCAAGACGCAAGGTATAGAGAGGAAGAGAAAACTTACTGGCGATCAATCCTTGAGCGCCGGGAGTGTATACCCGCAGACCCGCCGGGAAGGCATGCGAAGTAGAGTTCGCGCTGTTGATAGATTTTCTCTGTGGAGGTAGCAGCGCCTGTCCGTGGAGCTGCTGCTGGTTTCGAAAGTCTGTAGAGCAGCTAGTCTGGGCGTCATAGGTTGATCGAGACAAAGAGCTGTCCTTGAAGAAGTCGACGTCGGATTTCTTGGTCCTTGATCTGTTCTTGAGCAAGCCCAAGTCCCGGTCCAGAGAAGCAGTGGTAGCAACGTCGGTGAGAAGGGCACGATTGGTAGTAGCGGGATGGAGCTCCTGGACGCCAGACCAGGGCACGGCAGCATTGGCACTCGCAGTGGAGGAAACTAGATGATGTTGCAAGTGTGGATGATGAGAAGTGACGATCCCTCCGGCCGAGTGATGGAGAGAGTGCTGCTGATGCTGCTGTTGCTGCTGCTGGACGAGAGCTAGCAGCTGATTGCTGCCTTGATCGCTGCTACGAATCGACTGCTGCTGCTTAAGGCCTCCTTCCAGGCCGCCGAAGTTGATGAGATGATTAGCGCCCAGCGTCTCCTGCCGGATTGTCACGCAGACCTCCTGCGCGACGAAGGGATGATGGTGATGGTGAGGCGGATGATTCAGCTGGCTCACGGTGCCAGCC